ATGAACTTTTATAGAATGCAAAATAATAAAAAAAAATGCCCAAAATTTAATTATTCAATTATATTTTCTTTAAGTTGATTGTCCATAATAGAGATGTTTAAGGGTATAGTCCGTAGTCCCAGTGCTCACATGAAATCGAACCATCACAGACGCTAAATTAAAGCCCATTCTTGGTCTCCAGATGGTCTTGAACTATATTTTGTTATCAAAACACCAATTACATGTAATTCTGACATGTATTATTTTGTTCTGACAATTTATATTTTACTCGTATTGTGAATTTATTTGAAGTTTTTCGTTTTATTTTGTTAAATTTCACGGGATTTTTGTATAAATTGATTTAATATCCAAATGAAATGATTTATTAAACATGTGTGAACTCCATGATGACAATTTTAACAAATATTTACTGATACAAATAGGTATTTTTCTATGGTCTCTCAATAAATGAAAAATACTATATGTATAGATCGTAGCCCGGGGTCTCAAAATAGTCAATCAAAAAATGTTTGACACAGTGTTTCTCTGAATATTGCCAAATAAGTTTGAAATTTTCATCCCCACATACAATATCTTTAGAAAAAATGAAAGTACTTTAATGTATTTTTACTTCAGATGTCCAAATAATAAGAGTAGAAAAACTCCCAAAGATTAACAAATTTACCCATGTCCTTTATACACTGTAACATTTTAATGGAAATGAGTTATGTGATTTTTCTTGCTAAGACAATGTTTTGTGAAGAGTTTGTATTTGAATTATACTTTTTTTTTGTTTAGTTGAATATGATAAAGATAAATGTTATGTCTGAATATGTATAGTCCGTAGCCCACTTGGGTCTCTGCTATATTAAGAGTGAAATCTTTTTAACCGCTTGACAGAAATGGACAGAAATTTCAGACAATCTGCCAAAAGGATGTAGTGTTACATAGAACATATTTGTAATACATTTCGTTTAACTTCATTTTTTTGTTGATCTGCAACCAACATGGGCACCTGATCTTGACCAAGCCGTTTAATGAATTTCTCAAATGCCAAAACAAAATCTCGGGGTTATTCAGGATCATTTTTGTTAGGTACAATTCCTGGATTGGAATGCCCCACAGGCCCCGTAATAAGATTTCTAATTTATGTTGAGGAGGCTGGTTGTCACTAACATAGAGCATTTCCAGATGTGGAAGCATCAGAAACTCTTGCTTATCAACCTTCTCAGATCAATAAAATAATTTTCCATTAAAAAAAGATTTGTCAGATGCAACTGAGATATATTGACAAACACATTTTTGGTGAATCTTCTTATACCGTTCTTGATAAATTGAAGGCTCTGAGTGTCTTCGGGAATAAGTGGAATATAATCTAATAATTCTTCATGATCTTTACAGATTGCTACTCTGTTTCTGTAAACACATACAGAGGGACATGGTATATTTATCTGCATCATGGCCACAGAAATGCTCTGAATTGTTAGAAATATCCATAATGTATTGAACGAATACATCTTGCGTGTCAGAATGTTATACATGTACTAAACATCTCACGCAGTCTCTTTTTATAAAAGGATTTTGAAATGGCATGAACAATTGTTTCAAGTGTTTATAAGGAAAACAATCATATGACATCGCCATAAATATAATAAAATTCTCATCGTCAATTTTGTAAAATTATGGAATGATTCTGCAATGTAATGAAAATTTAATGATATAATTGTATTTGAACTCTCAAGTATTAATCAAAAGCAGTTCAATGACTTTCCATCTAGTTCTTTGCTTATTTCCACAGAGTCAACTACATGTGTATGTTATCTGTTGTAAAGGATATAATACATTAATACTCAAAGTCCACTTGTCTAACATACTAATAAACACTTGTTTGTAGTCATGGGATGTTTAAATAAAATTGATTAATTTTTTAATGTAAAAACAAGTTATTGTTTATTAAACAGTCTGGAAGGGAAAGACATCCGTTTTCGATAAGAAATAATGAAGTTCTAAATGAATTTTTCGTCGACGAGTGTGCTATTCTCAAATAAAAGTATACAACAAAGGTGACAAACATAACTTTTCAATTTGTTTAACGGCCATTCCTTAATCCTAAAATAAAAGACATTCAAAGTTCAAAGTATGTAAAACCAAAAGAAAAATAATCAACAAAACCTGTTGTAAACAGACTTTTCTAACGAAAATCTGCTTGTGCTCCGTCATTTCTAATTAACCAAAGATATATAACGTAAATGTTTTCCTTCATGCTAGCATTACAGAGGATAAATCTGCCTCTAAAATATATTATATTTCTTAATACAATGTATTTCCTAATGGGGATACCTGAGGGGCATATTTATGTCTCCTTTCCGTCTGTCCGTCGATCTGTCAGCCAGTCTGTACCACTTAGTTTTCCGATTTTTTTGGTTCCGCTTCGATGATTTTTGAAGGAAATACTGGTACACCATACTGGTTTGTTTCTTTAGTTTGATGTAGCCTTTTAGCATAACTTGATTTAACCTGTGTATTGTAATGAGATCAAAATTTTATTGCCTCGATCCAGCTTGAATACAAATTTATTTTCTTTCATATGCTCTTTTCCCGCGTGTACTTCTAAGGCATTTGATCCTTTTTAAACTTTAAGTTTAGCACCTTACTACATTTTACATCGTTTTCAAGCATAAGTTTTGTGGGTAGGGGCAATAAAAAAAAAATGTGAAGCAATCTACATGCTCTAGGGACGAAGTCGGAAACATCCCATCCAATGATTAGAACACCATACCTTCAACAAATGTAAAATTGCGTTAAATCTACGTTAAAAAACATTATCTGTTTTGTCATAGCAGCTTAGTATGCATTTACAAAGTTTGCAAAAATATAATCTGATAAAGCAAAATAAACCTTGACACGGAAAATTTACTGATTGTAGTTTCTAAACTAATTTTCGTGAAGAATTGATGTAACCGAAATCCAGTCTTATGATAAAACAAGTCTTGTAATGGATTGTTGCAAGTCGGAATGCAGTAAAGATAACATTCATTTGAAAATACATTATTTGTTTATATATTCATTGACGGCATTGGCATATTTAAGATAATGCTTACTAGCAACTCATTCGTGAGAATTTGTCGGTAATGCTTACAATGTATAAACGCTCCTTCACATTAATTGATATCATGGACATAGATTTAAAAAATATGTCCGATTTCTTAAAGTTTTGCGAGAATAAATCCATTCGATAAAGTATCTACCTTGTCAGTAGTTAAGAAAAAAGGTAATTTTTTCAGGCGAAAATTGGATTATTAAACTCTACTTCAAATAACAAATAACAAGCTTTTATTTCACACTATAATTATTGTGGTGTAATCTTAAGACAAAAGCTTTGTTAAAATCAAAGTAGCGTAAAGTTATTTTAATTTTTGTAATCGGTCTTTTGTAGGGTGTGCTTTGACGGTACAAATATGCTGTTTTACTTTGTTCGGTTGTTCATGTTTTACGTGATTAAAAATATAACTGGAATTATATTTGCATGTCTTTCTGAGCACGTGTATTATTGCTTCAGGTCCGGTGTGAGTAATTTTAGTTAGTGGCATTGGGAAAAGCAAATACCAAAAATTAATTGACAAGCAAAAATGGTCATATCGAAGCTAGGTTAAGGACGCCTATGAAATATACGCCTAAATATATTCACAGAAAATGAATACAATTTTTAATTTTTTTTAACAGCATAAATTTTGATGAATGTGCATTGTGGTGTTTGCACTTGTATATATCGGGTCTCTGCTGAGTTCGGCCAAAGCAACCTCGCTTACATCAGCTGCTTGTCACGTGACAGGTTTAAAATTAGAACACATTTATACTACTACAAAGACCGTAAAAGATCAACGATATACGGGTATCTTTCCGCTATAAAATTTATTCTGTTTTGTTTAAGACAAATTTTTTAACATGAAAAGTGCTGGGAGCAACTTCCTCATGCTCGGTAATTGTGTAAAATTTAGCCGTCTTTCTAAAAACTCCAGACATAGATGTAATACGCACTGTAATAATGTTACATTACGGAATAAATATACAATGCACAACCAGCTTCTAGCACTTTTCAGAATAGTAGGAATAATTGCTACACGTGTTTAAAAATTCAGAATTTATAGTGAAGCGGATATCATTGAACTTTTGATATTTTCGAGGGGCTGGACCCCTCACTCTAGCTCATTACTGTACAAATGTGATCCCTACGGCTGTATATAAAGTCTACACATTATCAATTTAGTTTGACAATAAAATGTGGATTGATATATCTTAGAATATGTATTTAATCTGGTCCAATTAAACTTGTTTCGTATTTCTTTTTATTTTTACAAGCTACGATGGTAGCTTGAGCAACGCCTCAAGTACAGAGAAACTGCGTGTCAAACTAAGAAATGACGTCATCTCAGTAAGTACAGCGAGACCAAGCTGGCTTTCATTCTACATACTCAAAGTGATAATTTTTCAAGATAAGTTGCTCACCCATTTATCTTAAAAAAAATATTTATAGTATGATAAACGAAAGTATTTCAGGGTGTTTTAAAAAGAACATATAGTATTCATTCATCGAGATTCATTTGAATTGTTTTAACGTGACGTCATAATAGCTTTCCTGAACCTCTGCATAGGCTGTTGTAGATATGGGAGTCCTTAACCTAACTGCGGTGTTCTTATTACTGAAGTGTCGAAAACATTAATTAGCTTTGATATCTATTGTGTAGTATATTATGGCAAAATTATTGGGGCCTGTGTTTCGACTTTTTGAAAGTTTGGCCAACTAAATAACAAAATCATTTCCAACATGCCATACACACTTTAACATGTTACTTTCTGTCTTTCACAGTCAAATATTAAGCCAATTGCGATAAACAGTTTCAATATCCTGAGTTGGATTTCAAATATATAGCTCAAAAAACCATCTTCGTTATTAATGAATCTAGAGCAATGAGATAGTTCTCTTGCAAGCTTCCCAAATATTCAAAATGAAACAATCAAAATGTTCTCATTACTTGTTTTAATGTAGTGACACTAAGAACACAATTTCAGACTTGAGTTTCTTAGTTACTCCATATCTTCATCTATCCTGGCCTCCTCATGTCTTCAATCTCTCTTTGGTCTTCCTCATTCAGACCTCTTCCGATTTCCTCATACAGATCTCTTCCGCGAAAGCGTCTCTCTGTCAAATGAAATGCTTTATATTGAACTTATCTTTTAAATGCTCTAAAAAAGCGTAGGTTCCTGTAATTGTTCAAGTGATAGATCAATTTAATCATTGCAATTTATCTATGACACCAATTGTAAGGAGGATTGATTGTATGTTGTTTTACGTCCCATTCGAGAATTTTTCACTCATATAGAGACGTCACCATATACCGGTGAAGGGCTTTAAATTTTGAACTTTAATCGGCACTCAGGGCCATAGAGCAGTGAGGGATCTTTTCTTGCCAACGCCTACCGTGACATAGGGCCTCAGTTTTTTAAGGTCTTATCCGAAGGGCCCGCAACTTCCACTTCAAAGTGGCGAGCGCATGGCGAAGGAACAGTTGCTGCCCATTTTTTATCGACTTATGTCAGTCGCGGCCGAGATTCGAACTCACGACCTCCCGATCACAGAGCGAGCGCTCTACCGACTGAGCTACCATGAACGGTAATTGTAAATAGGAAAGAATTTAAATAGTCATATTTATAACTTCGCAGTCCTACAGAAAGAACCACTTCTTTGGTGCTGAATCGTAATGTGCAGTTGTCGGAGGTAGTTTTTTTTTTTCAACAATTCTTTTTGACCAAAAAAAAAAAAAAAAAAAAAAAAAAAAAAAAAAAAAAAAATAAAAAAAAAAAAAAACAACAACAACAAACAAACAAACAAACAAAACAAAACCTCTTGATACAATTATACCGAGGAGAGAATTGCACTTACTTCGATATGTAATCGACTTTCTTTGTGAAGAAACCTTACTTACTTTTGCAATAAAACTTCACTCTTAGGTATTTGTAGGTTCCTTTACATGGATCTCCAAATACGGAATTGCTGGCTTTAATGGAGCATCTACTTTTCCCGTGGCATAATTTTTTTTACTACAAACAGGGATTTTCTGGATCTACAAGTTGTGCTCCAATGACTAGTATACTTTCTTGAACAGGTTCTCGAGTTTTGTCGGCCATACGTAGCAGAGTGCACTAGAATGGACCGATGTCCTCCGCAATTCAATTTCATTAGGCGATGTTCACATACTGTTGCCGTGTGTACATACCTTCCTGTTATTTTAATAAAATTATGCAATGAAAACATCTAACAGAATTATATCAATTCTTTAATTATCTAAACAAAATAGTAATTGCAAGTTTTCCATAATTTCTGCAACAATAAAATATTTTTTCCTTCTCGAACAATATCCCATCCTTTTTTCATTGACCTTGACTATTCTAAGGCGTCGTGGAATCTGGGTATAACTTTCATTTATAAACCACAAAATTTTGACTTCTTCTTTGAAACTTAATTTTTAATTTCCAATTTTGATTTTCCACTTGCTGATACAGTGTATATAATTTTATCAGTTTTGGAATATAATTTATGTAAATGGTAAAAAAGAGGAGCCAGTAATATTGGTCAACATATTAGCTATTAACTAGGAAGAAGTATAAGTGTAATTACGAATACTTAATTTTATACTGACAACCACATATTATCTGACCCCTGTGGATTTTCAGAAGATATGATGCTCAAATAAAAAGTTCCTCCTTTAACAAAGCTATTCCATACGATCTTAAACTTATTTTTGCAGGTACATGAGTTCATATACTAGTATTCAGTTCTTTGCCTGAATCCACTTAAGGTGAAAAATAGACTATTGTAAAAAAAAAAAAGGTAAAGATCAAGCTTAAAAAAATACATTACAAATATGTAAACAGGGCATAAAACACGGACCCCCGGAAATTCCAGAGGTGGGAACAGGAGCCTAGGAGGAGTGAGCACCTTTTGTCGACCTGTCACACCCGTAATTAGCCCTATGTACTGATCAGGAAGACGGATTAATCTATCGAAGAAAGTATAACTTAAAAAAAATAACCTGGTATAGAAAAATTACATATTTTCTTCCATAAATATTTAAAATGATTAATAATACTCACTTCTTCTCCACCAGAAACCATCAGTATCTTGAAATATTAAAAGATAATTAAAGTAAATAAAACATACGGAAATTACTTAGAATAACAAGATACACAGTGAATGTTTTACCTCGTATAATTTATGTGAGTTTTTCTTTTCATACACTAGAGACATTAAATTGTAGTACCTTGTATTACAAGAACCACAGCTAGCAGAACCAAGATCTTCCACATTTTTTCTTCTGTGTGTTCGAATGAAACATTTATGTCAATCTTATCATATTTATATAATATTTTCCCTGTAATCGATGTCCGGTCAATTTATGGAAATTTACGAAACATGTGATGGCACAGTGTTAATTAACTTTAGAATTCTTTGAAGAATCATTGAACCATTTGTCGATCGACCAGTAGCTAATAATGAAGAGAACATCTGCAGTAATTTTCTGTATGTCAACTCATGATAAAAAAAAATTGGATGAAAGCTGTTATTAAATATTAATCCTAAGAACAGAAATTCGGCCCTTTATACAATGAAATATATCGAGATAACAAAATATTCAAGCTTAAAAGTCCATTAAACAATACAAATTTGGCGCAGAGCAAACACGGACCTCTAAAACATCAGAGGTTGGATCAGGTGTCATGGAAGAGTAAGCATCCCCTGCCGACCGGTCACACCCGCCATGTGCTCCTTGCCATGATCAGGAAGGCGGAAATAAACCGTAGATTATTCAGTGTGTAAATAATAGCTTAATAATTTGTATGAAAAACACAGTCAGCATTCGAGTTAAGAAAAATTTTATTTGCTGACAAGGTCATTGTATCGACCATAGAACTTGCGAAATGACGTCTTATACGTGATTGTTGATATTCTTGTTACATCAATTGTTTGTCAAAAGCGTGCCTCGTTTCGGAAATTGTTCGTACGTAGCTCTTGTGTTTCGAATCAACTGGAGACACAAACCCCATATGCAGGTGATAAGAGTATATTGCTACATAAATAAGGGAAGTTGACGATAGAAAAGTTAAATTAATCACGTTTATCGCAAAGTTTTGTTGTTAGGTTACCATTGCCATTACCATTAACGACTAGTCTAGTAAAATATCCAAACATGAAACAGATGTCAGACTCTGTGATATCTTTAATTTCAAGTTCACTGGGATATACCGAGTCGACAATGAATAATTTTATTCAAATTAACCTAGCCACATGATAAACCCACTGCATTAAATGTAAATTTCCCAAGGTGTGATTTTTAAGGAGAGTTCAAAATCACTTTTTAAAGAATACTTTAAAAACAATATTCTAACTTTTATTAAATTCTGGAGTATCCAAAAATTGTCAAAGTTATACTTCTTGGAGAAACATAATCGGCTTTGAAGATAATTCCCTTGTAATTTTGTTTTTATACTGAATTTGACCTGAATGTTCCTTCTACCTGATCAATACATAGGACATAGGGTCCTATATAGGGTATGACCGGTCAACAGGAGATACTTACTACTCCTAGGCACCTGATCTCATGCACCTCTGAAATATTCGGGGGTCTGTGTATTTTGCTCTCTTCACAGATTTGTATTGTTTACAGATTTTTTGAGATCGATCACTGTTTGTTATCCTCACCTTTTCATATTGCAAATAAATTATGAGCTTTGCTTACATTCGATATTTTTTGTAAGATTTGTGTGTTTGTTTGGGGCGGGGGAGAATATGACGGGGTAGAATATGAATAACTTTCATTGACATTTTAGGTACAGTGCATCTAAAATCATATAGTATAGAATACTGACTCTTTTTTTAATTAAATGTTAAAACCATAAGATGTTGTCCATCAAAAAAGTATTTTTGGGGACATGGAACTATTAAGAAATATTGAAAAATATACTGACACGCAAAAGAAACGCAACAAGTAGTAGACTACAATTATCTGATCTAATCATTTTTTACTCAATGATTTTTAAAAATGAATGCAGTGAGGTGAAACTTGATTTTAAAACATCAGATATTTGATTTAAATGTTGAATGTTATCCTTAGACTTTAGAAAGTAACACATAACTGTAAAAACACCCCCTCCTAGCGATTTAATTACAGTGTGCAAGTCCGCCATGCACAACAATTGCAACTTGATTTCCACGATGCATCTATCTCTCGATCTGAGCGAAAGAAATATTCTTTGGCATTTTTAAGTGCATGTTTTTCAGATGCTGAGGTCGAATTTTCTATAACCTGGCACAGTATAGTAACACTTGGACTTCTGGTCCAAGAAATGTCATTCATGCTTATGATACGTATGCTTAATGAGGCGTAATGTAGTGCATATTTGTATCTGCAAGTCACCTTCACCTTTCTTTTGAGAATTTCCAGCTGCTTTCATTCATTTTGAGGAAGCCTTGGTTTCACATCAGGAAAAGAAAGAATTTCTTCGAAATATTACTGCAATACTTATGATTTACAGATACAAACCCTTGAAAACCCATATTATTGCTTTATGTTTTGTTGTAATATTTGATTTCTGATAAGCGGGCTCAAACTTAACTTCCGATAACGGGATGAAAATCGTTTAACCGATAAATTACCGATTTGGCAAAGTTGAAGATGTCCTTACGGTAAAAAGCTATACCCTATATGTAATTTCCCCCTAAAATAGAAGGTTTGGGTTCCTTTTGCGTGTCAGTATAATATCTATCATTATTTTTACATTCATATCTGAAGTACGAGGGCTTGCGTTCCTTTTGCGTGTCAGTATAATATCTATCATTATTTTACATTCATATCTGAAGTACGAGGGCTTGCGTTCCTTTTGCGTGTCAGTATAATATCTATCATTATTTTACATTCATATCTGAAGTACGAGGGCTTGCGTTCCTTTTGCGTGTCAGTATAATATCTATCATTATTTTACATTCATATCTGAAGTACGAGGGCTTGCGTTCCTTTTGCGTGTCAGTATAATATCTATCATTATTTTAAATTCATACCTGAGGTACGAGGGCTTGCGTTCCTTTTGCGTGTCAGTATAATATCTATCATTATTTTACATTCATATCTGAAGTACGAGGGCGTGCGTTCCTTTTGCGTGTCAGTATAATATCTATCATTATTTTACATTCATATCTGAAGTACGAGGGCTTGCGTTCCTTTTGCGTGTCAGTATAATATCTATCATTATTTTATTATCTTTTGCGTGTCAGTATAATATCTATCATTATTTTATTATCTTTTGCGTGTCAGTATAATATCTATCATTATTTTATTATCTTTTGCGTGTCAGTATAATATCTATCATTATTTTACATTCATATCTGAAGTACGAGGGCTTGCGTTCCTTTTGCGTGTCAGTATAATATCTATCATTATTTTACATTCATACCTGAAGTACGAGGGCTTGCGTTCCTTTTGCGTGTCAGTATAATAGCTATCATTATTTTACATTCATATCTGAAGTACGAGGGCTTGCGTTCCTTTTGCGTGTCAGTATAATATCTATCATTATTTTACATTCATATCTGAAGTACGAGGGCTTGCGTTCCTTTTGCGTGTCAGTATAATATCTATCATTATTTTACATTCATATCTGAAGTACGAGGGCTTGCGTTCCTTTTGCGTGTCAGTATAATATCTATCATTATTTTATTATCTTTTGCGTGTCAGTATAATATCTATCATTATTTTATTATCTTTTGCGTGTCAGTATAATATCTATCATTATTTTATTATCTTTTGCGTGTCAGTATAATATCTATCATTATTTTATTATCTTTTGCGTGTCAGTATAATATCTATCATTATTTTACATTCATACCTGAAGTACAAGGGCTTGCGTTCCTTTTGCGTGTCAGTATAATATCTATCATTATTTTACATTCATATCTGAAGTACGAGGGCTTGCGTTCCTTTTGCGTGTCAGTATAATATCTATCATTATTTTATTATCTTTTGCGTGTCAGTATAATATCTATCATTATTTTATTATCTTTTGCGTGTCAGTATAATATCTATCATTATTTTATTATCTTTTGCGTGTCAGTATAATATCTATCATTATTTTACATTCATATCTGAAGTACGAGGGCTTGCGTTCCTTTTGCGTGTCAGTATAATATCTATCATTATTTTACATTCATATCTGAAGTACGAGGGCTTGCGTTCCTTTTGCGTGTCAGTATAATATCTATCATTATTTTATTATCTTTTGCGTGTCAGTATAATATCTATCATTATTTTATTATCTTTTGCGTGTCAGTATAATATCTATCATTATTTTATTATCTTTTGCGTGTCAGTATAATATCTATCATTATTTTATTATCTTTTGCGTGTCAGTATAATATCTATCATTATTTTACATTCATATCTGAAGTACGAGGGTTGATCCTAATGTAATGTTACAATTAACTGCTCAAAAATCTGAAATAGTCAAATATTATCAACAAAATATCACATACAAATACACATACCTATTTTGATTCTTGCCTTAAAATTTCACTCGTTTACATAAAATACTTTTGAAAATATTAGATAAACACAACGTCAGGTTTTGTCGGCAAGAATGTTACCAACGCCATTTTGACGTTACTTTCTGTACATCCATCTCTCATCACCTCTCAAGTCTTCTTATTAATAACCTTTACTCCTATTTTGCTATAAACCGTCTCGTTTTGAGTTGTAGTATTAAAATCATTTGAACTTTGTAAAAATGTTATTTCTAAATTCATTCCATCTTGGGGAAAAAAAATCTATCATCCGATTTGAAATGATCTAGTGTCGAAGAGAAGCGTCCTAACGACGTCGGTACATTCTTGCTGTGCGGCGAAAGACGAAGTCCAAGGTTGTGTTTTTTTTTCAATATTTTATATTATATTTTATAAAGTATTGAATATATCTTAATGAAACTTTAGGACAAAAGTAAAAATAGATAGAGGTATTAGTACGGAGATAACGAAGAGTATTAAAGCTGAAAACCAATTAAAACAATACAAATCGGAAGTAGAGCAAACACGGACCTCCAAAAACAGAGGTGGATCAGGTGCCATGGAGGAGCGAGCATCCCCCGCCAACCGGCCACACTCATTGTGCGCTCCCTACAATGATCGGTAAATAACGGAAAAATCCGTAGACAATTCAGTGTGTAAATAATGGCCCAACAATCAGCACGAAAAACGTCAGTCAGTATATGACTTTATGAAAGAATGTATTTGCCGACAAGGTCACTGTATCGACCACAGGGCCTACGAAATTATGAC